AAGCTTTACTGTGTAGTTAATAACATTCCCTTCCAGGAGGTTTATGTCACTTCTGAGATGCAACTCAACATTGCACGCTCCTCCCTAGTGTGTAGAAAGCTTTGTACTTTATAGAACATTTGAAAGTTGCATTTCATTTAATATTGTAAGTTGAGGAAAGCAATTTATTTTGTAAAGGAAAAATGTGGGTTTTTCCTTGCTGAAAATGCAGAATTTTCCAATACCTGCTTCAATATCATGATTGGAGACCAGTTAAGTTTTCATCTTCATTTCCTTTTTAGTACAACAGGAGGGTTCCGCCCCATAGGCTGTCTCCTGAATGAGAAAGATTCTTTGCTAGAGGAAGTTTTAGTGATTAAAAAACAAAAACAGACCCCAAAAAAGCCACATCTGCAGAAAGCATTGTTTTTCATGGGTTTTAGTTACTGTCAACTCATTTAATCTTTGCTTCCTCTCACCCACTTCCTTTTCCATTAATCTGTGCAAGGGAAAACATAACCCCCTACAATTATGAATATAAGAAGTATCTTTACCTGAATATCACATTTAAAATCAAGCACTTGAGAAAAGTTGGGACAAGTTATAGCATGGGAGCAAATGGCTGATGTTGCTGCTACACATATTTCTAATATGGAGAGTTTCTTGTATTTTCTGGAAGTCTGGATGGTTATAAAATAGGTCAGAAAGGCTTTTATCAAAATATTTTAAAACTTATGAAAGAAGCAACAGTAAAATAACCTTTCACTTCAATTTAACAGCTATAGGGAAATATTCAGTTAAGTGACTGTAAAAGCTCTGTGAGACATGGAGGAAATAGGAAACAGTGTGCACTTGCTTCTGGTGCCCCACCTTACACAGGGGAACTGGAGGAAGCTGTTTGTACTCTAAATAATCCTGGGTTTGATTGGATGAAAGAAGCTGGTTAAATGAGCTGTGCTTTACAGAAGCTCTGTGAAAGGCTCAGGTAGAGTTACTCTACATTGGTGATATTTGTCTTGCAACCATATAAGTCAAGAATCCCAGCCATGAGTCAGAGTCCCATTGGGAGTGGAATGGTGCAGCCAAAGAGCGGAAGGGTGTGGAATCTTTTTGGCTGAGCATCTAGGTTGCATAATGACAGTGTTAAGCTTTGTCTGTAAGACATGTCTCTGAAGATGATGCTAAAAGCAGTCTGGAGTGGTGTTGGTTCTGAAAATGAAAAGCAAGCAAGGGTGTCTGTGCGCTGTGCAAAACATTTCACTGTTAGCATAGAGGGAAGTGTGAATATTTCACTTATAAAGTATTAACTTTGTTATGCGTTTGTAGTTGTATTTGTGGGGTGTTGCAGCTGTTTCAGTAACATACAATTCTACTCTTCAGTTTGGTTTGCTATGATAATCATTATAAGTAAAGAATGTGGTTAAATGATTTTTTTATGATACCATCCTCTGCAGGAGGTAGATCCTTGCTTTTATGTGCCCCGCTCTTAAGTTTGGTCCATCTGTGGAAGCCTTACAAAAGACCACTAAGAACATCACCTATGGTTTTGTGTTCCTTTGCTTCTAAAGAAATGAATTACCAGGTGGTTGTTGGGGGTTTGGCTTTCAGGTGAGGAAGAGGAATGAAGACAGCAATTCAAATTGCTTGTGAAATAATAGATTTTAGGAATAATTAGAAAGTCTTCTGGAAAAAATGCTGTAGTTAGATAAATAAAATAAAGTCTGTAGATAGCACATTCAGGTAATCTTAAGAAAACCAAAATTTAAACCCACCACTATGGAAGATGTTTTAGTAAAGTTGTAAATGTATTAATCCCTCTCTTCCTCTCTGTCTTCCTTTAATTCCATATATGAAACAAGTATAGGATTACTAAGTATATTATGATATTTCATTGTCTAGATAATATGCCTGCCTATTCAGTGTGTAAGGAAAACCAAATCAGACTGAAATCTTAACCTCATCTTCATATTAACTTCATTGGAGCCATTTCATTCACCGGTAATGCCTGCCTGCTGAGCTCAGACCAGAAAAGAGTAAAAAAGGACAAAGCTATGAGGGAGAAGGTATGACATGCTAAATAGAGGAATGAGGGCATTAGTAGGCATGTGGAGTCTCAGGAAATGTTGTTTCTCTAAGGTCCATTTTGCATTGTCTGCATTTTTTCCAGAAAGCAGCCTTTTCTCACATTAATTCTCAGCACTGGTTTCATTCTTTTTCCTTTCTAGTGTTCATTGCTGTTAGAGTAGATCATCGTAACTCTTTGTTAGGGATTGCAGAATGGAGGTTTCAAGGACCAGGAGTGTCCTGTTTGGTCATGGAAGTGAAATGCCATGGAAGAACCATCTGGAGATGGGTTTGAACAACAACCTTTTGCCATCAATTCCAATAAAACTATATTTCAGCTTGATGCCATGAGCCTTTAGGTGTGGAGTGTGCTGCTAAAGGGACTTTGAATTGCAACAATAGAAGGTTGCCCTCATGATTATTCATTGGACTAGGTAAAAAAATGTAAGTTGTTTCTTGAAACATTGAGCTATTCTCACATTCTTAAATCAGAGGCTAATCCTATCATTTTCTTCTTTATATATATAAAAAGTACATCTTTTTATTTTTCCTAGGTGAATATCTTATACTGGTTTTACCGTTGTTCTAACTATTAGGTTGAGCTTTGCTGTAGAAATACAAATTGCTGTATACAAAAGCTCTTTTTTAAACCTATTTTTGTATTTGATCAGTGTGTTTGTATATAAGGCTGTAGATTGTTATGCTCTTGCTCTGTCTTGCTGTTAGGCATGTCAGTGGGTGAAGGAGTTTGGAAAGTTACACTAACAAGGGTTCTGCCCCAAATTATGGTGAAATTCAGTGTAACCCATTGTTTTTTTTCTGTTCTGGATTTAGATCAGTGCAATAACAGTAATTCCTAAATCACCTTTTTTATTTGATGAGTACTTTTTTCCTAATTATAGTGGTTTCAATTCCAAAAGCCTGAAAGTACTTCAAGACCTACATACAATAAATACAGAATCATTTTTACAAGACAAAATTCAGAGAAGTAAATTGGAGCATGGAACAGTCTATACGGCTATATGGAAAGAGGTGGAAACGCTGGCTAAGAGTCCAAGTCCAATTCTGGAGGTTACAAGAAGTGATGTATGTTACAGAAAAGAGCTGACAGGACCCAACTGAATAGCAGTTATTCTGTTTGCCTTCACCTCTCCTTGAGTGTATGGACAGATAATTGATCAACTCCATTGGGTTTTCTCTGGAAGCATAAGGAGTTGAGATTTGAACCAATTGTTCTGTGGACTTCAGGGAATTGCAGTCCTTTAGCGGAGCACCTGGATTCCGCATCTTTTTTAGATTGCATAAACTGTCAATAGCATTTGTGAAAATGATCAGACTGGTCAGAAATTAATATAAAAATAAGAAACTCTATCCTCTACTTCTCATTTCAATGTCAAGTTGCATAGAAAGAGACAACTGCACTTACTACTTGGCTCTATTTGAAAATGGCTTTTTTATCTCTTACCTTGTGAAAGCTGTTTCTGATTCTGTGTTTGTTCGGGTTAGGCTGTGACTGTTTGAATAAAGAATATGTTTCTATATTGTATTATTATGGAATAGCTTTTGAGAAAGAAGTGCTGTGTAATTTTCCCATTTGGATTTTTGTGCATCATTTTGTAAAGTGTCTTTGTAAGTTATAGAAACCTAGAACATGCAAGGGAAGGTTAAAGAGGCCTTGGTTAATGAAGACTAACGAGTTCTGTATATAGTTCTCTTAGGTAAAAATCATCCTCACAGAACAGGATATATGTACATTGACACAACTTCTGTGAAGTTTTTTGTGTCTGTGGCGTGCCTCCTTTACAAATGATACCCAGTTTAAAACAATTTTGGGTTCACTTTCTGAGAATGTCTTAGTATTACTTAGCTGTAATTCAGGAGAAAGTCAGTACGAGGATTGAAGTTATCCATAGTAATTCATAATTGTCATGGAGGAGAAATTTCATAGTTAGAGACATTCTCTTTTGTTCTTTGGGATGAGCAAATCATGGCTTCTTTTTTTACATGTCTTGTATTTTGATTGTATTTAATCATACTCTAAATTGTGATGTTTCATTGTCAGCGGTCGCCCAGCAAGATCTCTTCATGGTGTTTTTGTTACCACATCAAAAGTATTCATAACTGCACGTGCAGAATTCTAGCCTGACTGCTTACATCTGTGCGAGGTTTAAAGCTCTGTAAATAGAGATACCTGAAAGATTTAAACTTGCTGTGCTCAGTGTGTACACTTACATTCCTTATGAATGCTTAGGGTGGAAAATAAACCAAGTAAGTTTTCCACAGGCTTCTTGAGCAGAACTTCATTCTCTCAAATTCTTGTTTAGAAATGCTAATACCTACCTTTTGGTGTTAAATCCCAGTGCATGAACATATCCTCAACAGGAAGTACTCATCAAAGTCTGAAAGAGAAATAGACAGTTACAGGAGTACAGTAGTTGGGATAAAACAGTATCAGCTTACTTTGCACTTGTAACTGAGTCCTGTACTACCCTGAAGGTTTAGGATAGATTGCAGACCATCAGGAGTAGCAAGTAGCAGAGTTCTGTGTAGTCACATTCCTCCGGTTGTCCTTGGCTTCTTCCTTGTCTAAGCAGAGATTTGTTGAGTAAACATTTCATGTTTGTATAAAATTATATTAATATGTGTCTGTCCAGTTATAGATAGTATGAAATCCCTCTCTCATTCTGTTGTATGCATATTGGAAGCCATTTATTATGCCAGTACATGTTCAGAATATTAAAATTCATATTTTGCATTCTGAATGTCTGGATCTTTGAAAGTTTGTAACTACTTAATATTTGAGCAGAGCAACTGTGCTGTATTATACTACATTATATTATATTGTATTATAAACGTAGCAGAGGGCTAATATGGACTGTATAGATAGTCTTAACTCTTGGAGTTCCTGTGTTTTGAATGCTTATTTTATGATCTTGTTTTGTTGCTGTTTGCTTTAGATTGTTGGTTGCCAAATCAGAAGAGAGCCACCGGAGTCTACTGAACGGTATACTCGTTGGATCAATAGTCTGACTGAAGAACAACTTCTTACACAGGTATTCTTGCTTCAGCTGTGACTGAAATTACAGCAGAAAAATAAAGCAATGGGTTTATTTAGATGGATTTTCATCAGTCATTAGGAATGCTGGATAACTTATATTAAGCATTTATACTTGATAATATAAGTCAAGTATATCAGGTCAAGATAATACATCAAGTATTTGTCAGATTCTTAAAGGTTAGTCTTTTCAGTAAATTGATAGTGCATGTGATCGTTACGTATGGTGACTTCACAGTGAGAATGGAGCTTTCAGCTTTAGGTTTGGAGTAAGCTTCACATTTCTCACTGCTCTCTGTGGTTAAATGCATGCACTTCCATCCTCTAATAGTTAGTTTAGCTTTTTTTGTTTTAAAAGGTGTATTTAAATACAAAAGAAAAAAAATCTGTCTTGAAAAGGACTTCTCCCCTCACCAAGGTTAGGTACTGACTACTTCTGTATCTGTTTAAGTTTTTCTAGAGGTCATTTTAAAATAGCAGTTCTTCAGGCATAAAACATTGGGCTCATTATACATGTTTGTAAGTAAGATGCGTCTTGTGCAACTGAAGATGACAGTTTTGGCATAAAGAAAGGTGGTTTCATTAGGCAGGCAGCCAGTGCTGAACTAAAAGAGACTTTGGCAAAAACAAGTTAAACTGTGGAAGAAATCAGTCCAGCCTGTGGAAGAATATGTGTGTACTGAGTACTGTAAGAAATCTAATGGATGGTTAGCAGAAAGCATTCCAGCAGGCATTAAAATGCAAGTATTTGGGTTTGGGTTTTGTGATGCTACGGTAGGAAGGCATTTGCTTTTGATTTTTCTGGTTTTAAGTGGCTGAAAAGATTAACATACCCTTGTTTGTTAGACTTCATTGTAAACTATTGTGTTCCCCATTACCCTAACCCCAAAAGACATACTTAAAGGCTCTGGTATGGTCATTGTAACACAAGAAGTAATCTATAGACCTTGTTTTAAATCAGCAGTGGTATTACAGTTTCCTATAATTCACCAAGTGAAAGTAGTTACAGAAGAAGTTACCCATGGAATATTTGGATTTGTCTCTGAGTATAGCACTAGAAAAAAACCCATCTGGATTTAAACCAGTGAATTTATCTGACTGCAACATCGGGATCAGTGTGTTGTTGAGGAGAAGAAAAAAAAAACCTTGTCCTACACAGTCCCATCTAAGTGGCCACTGGATGGGGTCTTTAATGAGTTAAACTGGAAATTAAAAGAACTGTCCTGGTTTTGAGATTGTTTAAATAGAGCTATGTAAAGAGAAAACTGTTTTTAGGATGAGGGTATATGTCTTCAGGAAGAGATTATTTAATCTAGTGTTTCTGATAGTAAGATACAAATGCAGTAACCTGAGAAGTCCCTTGCAATCTTATGTGCCTACAAATATCTCTTAAAGCCTCACTCAGGCAGCATGTGCAATCCATTATCTTTACATACGATTTAGATTCACACAATTTACAAATAGACAAGGAATTTTGGAAGATAGATTGGGTTTGGAGCTAGAAGGCTGCATAGCAGAACTTGTGCTACTAGCCCAGGAGCTTATTAACAAGATGAGATTTATAAAATCCCGTTATTCATGTATTCCTCATTCATTGTTTTAAACCTGTTACCTGTTCTCCACCAAATTTAATGCAGAAATAGAGGTTCCTCAAGGACACCATATTTCTGAACATTCTGGAAATGTGAAGCTAGGCGAGCATACACTGCCCCAGCTGCAAGTCATATGTTGTTAAGCACCACAGAGATTTTAGGTGCCTGATCATGAGGCAAGCTTCAGCTGTGGCACAAGTCTGCAGGAAGTCCGGCTCTTCTAACCTGGGGCTACAAGAAGAGCTTGATTTCCAGAGCAGTGTATGGAGGTATATGGCACCTCTCCTGGTTCAGTATTCATTCTTCTCATCAGAAATTCAGGTAGGGAGGTTGTTATTTTGCTTTTCCTTGACTTAAAGAATTGGAAGGAGAAGGAGGAACTGGAGTGTAGAAACCATCTCAGCTGTGCTCTAATAATCAGGGTATAAATTCTGTAAGGTTAGGCCTGATTTGTCCTACTGTTCTACCTCTGGTATATCCCATGTTTTACTTTGGGTGTGCTCTTTTTAAACTCTAAGAAAACTATAATGATGGGCCTTTGCTAATGAATTTGTAGAATCTCTGGGAGGAGCAGTCCTTCAGGGAATTCAGGAAAATTGGCTTTAATTTACAGCATATTGTCTCCAGCAGTTTCCTGTAGTGAAAGGCTGTTCAGCTTTTTTTAGCTGTCTCTCTACTCAGTGCCTGGCTTTTTTTCCAGTTGCATTTCTGTATCATGCACATGCAAATTATTTGTGCTGTAAATCAGGAACCAAGTAACTGATTTAAACAAAGAAAATAGCCAGTTGTCAAGATCATGTAATCGCCTATCATAATATTCATGTTATTGATCAGTAATAGCCTACAGTGTTTGACTGCTTTATGAGACAGTGGCTGAAGTCCAGTTCGAAGGAGGTGGGTGGTAGCAAATGTTCTGTTAGGTGGTTGGATGCTTCATGCGCCTTGATGCTGGCTGCTGGTTTTAAAACACTTGTGTCAATACCAGAGTTTTGGATCAAATGTCCGTCTCTGTCCTCATGCTGAGAAGATCATTCAATTCAGAAGGCTTCTAGCATTTTAACTTTTCTCTTCCCTTAGCTGTGGCCTCTTGATGCTTACTCATCCATTAAATGTTTCTCTAAACAATTATACTGTAACATTCCAAAGATACTTTATGCTATGCGTGAAATTTTAGAATATATACCCCAGAGAGTTTGGTGGGAGGAAGAGAGAACCAAGAGAGCATAATAATGAGAAAACTACTTTTGAAAGTTTAATATTTGCTTGTTTAAGGTTATATTCTATATATGATAAGTGAATAAAACACTTTTATAGGTATAGTAATATAAGCCTTAAAATACACGTGTAAGTGTTCAGCTAGACTTGCTATCTTTCTGCCAATGGTTGAAATGTATGTACATATAATTTTAACTTCTTGGGAAGTGCAGAGCACAGTGACAGGTACAGGAAGAAAATGAGCAAACAAATTAAGAGAACTGACTGTTCTGATGTTGGAGTAAGTGGAAAAAATGTAGATTAAAACTGATCCTACAGGATATCCAAGTCTGAATTGTGCTTGAAACATGATTGAAGTGTGATCATGCAGCCCCTCTTGTACGCTGAAAATTTTACTGCGCTGTATAAGTAAAAAGGTCTAAATGGTTTTAAGGTTGGATTAATTCCACAAATATTTATACAAGTAGTTTTTAAGGATTGGTGCTGACTGTTACTAAACCAGCTGAGTTCATATCCATGTCTGTTAAATAACTGCTTTAGGTTAGTTTAGTCTCACAGCCTGTGGAGTATTAAATTCAGCTTGAAGCATTATTCCATCTGACCTACCATTTTTAAGTCCCCAGCGACAAGAGATTTTTCTGCTTTCATATGGTTGTTCACTTAGGAAGCAGACGGCAAGCTTAGAGTGAAAGGAGATGTGAGCATGCGAGGAGACTCCCAGAAAGGAGTGGGCCCTATGGTTGATAAGACTGGACTGTCCTAATTAAACAAAGGAACAGTCTGAACAGAACATGGTGATTCTGTATGTCTGCTCCATGGGACTGTGTCTGTACTGCTTCCTGATACATGCTGTACTTTGCGGATGATCTCAGAGCTCTTTGTGTTGCAGAAATGTGGAAGCTTTCACAGGTGATCTGCAGTTCTTACCAACAAACTCTCTGGACCACCTGATAGAAGAATGATGATTAACATGTTAGAGTTTTGTAATACACTCGTTTCTGTGCTGTTCTGTTAAATTTAGCTGATAGGTTTAAAAGCTATGCTCCTCTACCTACTAAGCCTTCCTATATTAGACTTTATTTAACAGTTGATAAAAGTTCATGCTACAAATCAGCATTTACAGATACTCGCTTTGGAAACAGATCATTTTGCCTGTGTTGGGCATGTAGCTTGCCTTCCAGGCAAGAAGGACCTGATAACATGGCTGGACCTTTTCCATAAATTCAATACACTCGGTATTGTATTGTCATTATGTATCTCACCAGGCAACTTCTTACTGGGTAAAAAGCCAGTAGGAGTAGATTGCACACAGGATGAATTTTTCCATGTGGGCCACAGATTGAATATCTCTGGCTTTAAGCATCTCTCTCAGACCAGAAAATTCCACCTTAGTGCTAGGGCTGGTTGTCAGTGTTGAGGTGGCAGTCTGAAAGTGGATATATGCGATGCCTGTTGTCTGGTTATATTAGTAAAGGCAAAAGCAGGACAGAGGTAAGACTTTCATTACCTTAGAATGAATAGAAGATGAAAAGACTGACTGATATCCTCCCCCCCTGTATCTTTGTCACTCTTAATGTCTCACTTTCGTTTGTTGTCCTTCAATAAAAAAGGACTCGACACATGTTGGGATTTTTTGACACCATTTCCTTTTCCTTCCCCCATTTTACCTAAGAATTAATAGTGAAGTCCTGATATTTTTCTACTGAACAAAAGAACCGAGGCCACAAACTATGTAATTACAGTAGATTCTCTGGTTTGTGTGGGATTAAGCATATACCATGTCAGAAAAAAACCCAACTGCTTCCTTTTGTGGTTGATCCTTGATTCATTCTCCTCCAGAGGAGAACAAAGTTTCACAAGCTAGTCAGTGTTTATATTTACATTTGAAAATGCATGTCAAAGGGGTTCGTGGAGTTCTAGGAAGTTTAATGAGAAATGGCTTAGCCACATCTGTGAACTCAAAGCACAATTAGAACTTCCTAGTGAGGCTTTATGTAAAGGCATCTCAAGGTCAGGTAGTTTTGAACTTAGAAACAGGTTTGCAGTCGTTCAGAAGTGCATACGGATTTTGCTTTGCGTGTTAGCAATTTTGCATGAGTTTAAAGGCATACTGTTAGGGAAAGAGTGTTAAGTAATTTGGTATTTTCCTTTTTGTATATTGTTTGGTAATTTGCATGCTTAAACAAGGCTT